GAATATCGTTTTATTTATATATTTTAATGGTCCAATTCAGGTTCAAATTATAACCACAACTATAAAATTATGAATCGTACTGTGAAGTATTATTTATCTTTGTTCGAAATTGGGCACCAATGTGGCATGACCTTTGACCCTTTTGAACCTTATCCATGTAAGTTTTGAATTTGAATTCAAAACCTATTTGGATAACCCAATCTTGATATCTATATCTACCGATAGCATATGCTAAATTATAACGAAATGGGTTCGGGGATGCTGCAGTGAGTTCCTCACAGTAGCACCTACTGTGATTCAATACTGTGTCATTTTGTTGGATCAATTTGAATTCTCCCTTTGTTGTTTCAATTTTTAATTGCTTTTTTCTCTCAAAATCATAATTTATTTCTTTTTCTCCTTTTAATTCCTATGCTCCACATATATACAAGCACATGAGTAATATTGAAATAAAAATTGTTATCAAATTTTTATATAGATGGATTTAATTTATTATGAATTTTTTATTTTAAAAGAGAACACTTATGAATATCGTTTTATTTATAAATTTTAAAGGGCCAATTCAAGTTCAAATTTGAACCACAACTATAAAGTTATGAATCGTACTTTGAACTATTATTTATCTTTGTTAGAAATTGGGCTTATTTTTCTTTGCTGAGAAAATGTTGGGAAAATGAAGGAGCTTTAGAAAGGGTAATTTTCCTACATTTTCTCTGAAACTGAACCCAGATTGATGGTTTAGAGTTGATGATTCTTGGTTTATTTTTCCCCTTAAATTTTCCTACATTTTCTTGAAAACAGAACAGAGAGAAAGAGCTAGAAAAGAAAGACAAGAAGAAGAAAGGTTTCCCTCAAATCATATGGCTTAAAGATCAGTGGAGGAAGAGCAAGAAAGAAAAGGATCAGCAACCAATGTCTCCGTTTTTGGCGTTCACAACTGAAGCCATGAGGCTGTTGGAGGAAGAGCAGTTTCTTCAGTTGAATAAGTAAATTCAGTAATTTTCTCTATATTTCTCTCTCCCCCTTCTTATTCTCTCTATAATATTTGTCTCATTGAATTTCTATAGGAAAGAGAAGGACCCGTTGAAGCCGAAGCAACTGATGTCTGCGTTTTTCATGTTCAGAAATGAGCGAAGAGCAGAGAGCAAGAGTGGTTGGGAGGTAATTGAAGAATGGAATAACATGACAGAGAAATAGAAGAAGCCATATGAAAAGGTTCAATTAACTCTGTCTTTCTCTCTCAATCTCTGTGTGTGTGTGTGTGTGTGTGTGTGTGTTTCTGCAACAGCAATTTCATATTTTGGGAACTTGCAGATTGCAAAGCAAAACATGGAAAAGTATTTGGAAGAAATTAAGGCTTACAAGTGTAGACACCCCATTTTTAACCGCCCTTAAGACTTGGGCGTTACTGATGGTTTACTTGGTAGTAAAAGATGTGCAGGGCAAAGGTTCAAATTCGTCAGCAATGAGAGAGTCAAATCCTAACTTCAGACCCCTTTTGGACCAAAACAATCTTGATCAAAAGATTTTAGATCTTAAAATCCTCTCTTTCAAAATGTTTTGAAAATAAAATTCCTACGATGTTCCGACGCTCACATTTCGGTAAATGTTGCGCTTTTCGGTAAACCGAGCAAGGACAAGTTGGAGATGAATGAAAGAGAGATCAAATCTTTGAAAAATCTTTCAAAACACTTTGTTTAGGGGTTTGGAGTTGAAGAGAAGAGGAAATGAGAGGAGAAAACTAGTTTGGGAGAAGTTCGGCATGAATCCGAGTAAGAGAGAGTTGAGCAGCCCTTGCTGAATCGGGCTTATTCATTTGCATACTTGGATTTTAGCTATGAGGCCACCACCGTTGGAGAGCTTACTTTTGGGGCTTCATTTTGCACTCAAGAATCTCCTAGAGCCAAGTCCGGGTGGGGGAGATATGATTGGTTGAAGTTGGGTACCATCCCAGTTGGATCGAATCTGCGCGGCTTCACCAAAATGGGCATAACTTTTTTCACAGGAGGAATTTTAATGCAAGGTTTGCGCCATTGGAAAGCTAATTGATTGCCCGAGGGTCGAGGGGCATACTCCCTTGAGTCCATTACATGATTGGGAGAGTGGCCATGCATACATTGCTTTGAAAATTCCATGCCATACACTGCTTGCCCTCTGCTGCTGTCAATTGTAGGTTCTGCAGGACGTTTTGGCTGGTCGGCTACATATAGTGCCGACCGGCCAGGAATTTGCGGCCGATATATCAAAATGCAGCCGGTGATCATTCCCGGCGGCCGGTGACCATTCCTCCTAGCCGGTGGTGCTCCAAAGTGTGCAGAGAACCTATTCCAAGACTTGTGCAGTCCCCAGAGGAGCAGGGCAGTGTTAATAGAGGCAACAGTGCTATGGCAGCGAGTTTCCGGGCGAGATGGGTCAAGCATGCATCATTCACGCATTTCGAGGCAGGGCTGTGGCCCCCATCCTTTTGCATTTAATTTGTTAATTAATTAGAAGTTCTGTAATAATTAATTTAGTATTATTTATTTGGACTGTAATATTTATTTGGACCCTCCGAGTGAGGGCAATTGTGTAATAAGTGTGCATGAGTGTGTGTATGTCTCCCAACCCCACGTCTTTCTTCCCTTTTATTTACTAGCTTTTGATGGTTAGCCTAGGGCATGTTTCAATTAGCCTACAGTATGATAGCATGCGTGCATCATTCATTAGTCTTGCATGCACCAGACTCGGTACATCATACTAACTGCATAACTATTTCAAATATAACTTGAATACATGCTACTTGTGCATTTTCACATATCATCTATAGACTAGCCGAACCTACTCTAGTGACATTCTGTATGCGTTGCATTAGCCACTTAACATGGACTTGGATCATGCATTGATTGCTAACATGTTTTTGTTTTTGCTCGGAGTACTAGGTAAGCATTTATGCTTTAGCATACCGCATGCGTGTGAGTGTTGCCATAATAGCATGATTACTATGAGGCAAGATGCTTATGTGATATAAACTGCTTGAATGCCTGTGGGTGAAGGTTAGATTGTTTGAGTTGGAACAACTCGTTAAAATCCCTACTTTAGCCTACTTGCGAGTAGCAAATTTCAAACTGTTTTTCAAACAAACGAATATGCAATGCTTCGTTTCAATTCAGGCGATTTGGTCTATACTTGTTTGCTGTGCGCATAACGTAGTAATTCTAGGCTAATAATCGGAATAAGAACACATAACGTTTTCAAAATCGGATATCACGGTTAGTAGAGGCCGATCTTCGGATCGGGCGAGAGGGGGTGCTTATAGCTGACCTTCCCCAATCGTACCCAAGATCCCGAGCCGAGGCAACTTTGGTGATGACGGATACGTGGCCTTTGGCACCGAGTCAGGGTTTCCTAAATTCCCCCATAAAAAAAAATATTTAGGTGGCGACTCTGTATCTGGCAAAGCAGCCCATGTTTGGCACTTCTTTTCAAAAATCTGTTTCTCAAAACGATTTGCCGGATTTGGACTCTTTGGTTCAGATTAAGAACCATGACAATTTGAGAGTCCTGAACTGTAGTGAGCCTAAAAAAACGAACAGAACGGGACTCATCCTCCCGGGGCGTTCGGGGACATCTACAGTTTCTGGCGACTCCGCTGGGGATTTTAGAGAGCTTGACTTGAACTCATGATATCCTGTTTTGATTTCATTTCTGTGTCTCTTTGCATTGCATGTACATTGGTGCGCCTAGGACACCGTGTTTGCCATCTGCCATTCCTGAACGGTTTGCCAGAGGCTTGACTTTGTCAAAGCATGCCATAAGGCTGACCGGTTGTGGGCTCTGACAGTATGGGAACACAAACCCCGGTTTTACCGGGGCACCCTTTTCGACCATTCGACCTAGTGCATATCGAAATCCATAGTGACTATTCCAAACTAGGACAGGTTGCTTACCCGATGTTAGGTTGTTTGAAAACCGCTGCGTGCGTAGTGAAACCCTAGCTCCTGACAAAATAGGACAGGGAAACCCTACCCCAACATAGGGGTGTTTTGGCTCTCACTTATCTGCTATGTGCTTTAGAGTTGGCCTCTACAGGGTTGCATGTATCAATTTGCAAGTTTGAGTATCAGGCCTGTGGACATCACGATCAGTATTTGGGGAATCAGTTTTACCTGAGGGTATCTGTTTACAAGGGTAGAATTCAGTAAAGATTCAAATCTGTTTTGGCGAAATCAGGCTGAGATGCTGTCTGTTTTCTCTTTTGATAGGTAGTCCTGGAACCATAGCTTCAGAAGGCTCTGATATCCCCCGAGGTTCATCGGACTTGTGCTGATAGACTTTGTCAGGTCAGAGATTTAGTTCAAGGGCAAATCAGTGCTCCTTTGCTAGAGACAGGGTAAAAAGGCCAGTCAGGCACAGATCATCAGTCTTCGGATCAGCAGTCATTATCCATCTCACCTGTGCGCAGTTTGGGTTGAGATTTCCGAGCCTACTGCCGACACAGATATACCGATAGATTAGTTAGATCAGGGCAGTATGGCAGGAATGGAAGAGATGGTGCGCCAACTCCAGGATAGTATGAAAGCCATGCAGCAAGACACTGTCCGTCAAGCAGAATTCGCCAAGCAACAGGTTGTGGTCATAGCCCAACAGGCAGAGACAATTGCCAGGTTAGAGTAGCAAACTGGAGTATCTACTTCACACCAGGCTCCTTCCCCACCAAGAGTTCCAACACTCGGGGAGACAGCTAATGTCCAGGAAGATACGGACATTCCGATAGGGCCAGCTCCGCCCCCGGTTCTACCCTAGCTATCTAAAACACCCACCAACCTACCAGACCCCCCCTTTGATATCAAGACAGACCCCACAGCATTGAAAGTGAGCAAGCTTGAGAAATTGTTCAAGAAGTCTCAGGGGGCCCACTCCATTCCTGACATTGAAGACGGGTATACAGACTCGGCTGTGACGCTGCCTGACAGATTCAAAATGTTGCATATTGACCGTTTTGATGGGTCCAGGGACCCCATGGTGGACCTGAGACTGTTTTCAGACATACTAAGGCCGATGGGCCTCACCAGATTACAGAAGCTATCATTGTTTGGTCGGACCCTGTCTGGGATAGCCGCAATCTGGTATGCAAAATTGGAGAACTCTGTGAAACAGAATTGGGAAGAGATGGTTGAGGCCTTCAGTGATTAATACTCCTACAATGCACAGATTGAGGTCACAACTCATGATCTTGAAGTCACTCGCCAAGAGCCAAAGGAGAGCTTCTCAGAATTCGTGGCCCGCTGGAGGGCCAAGGCCTCAATGATGACCATTAGGCCAACGGATAAGGACCAAATACGGATGGTTGTGCGCAACCTCCAGCCCAAACTAATGCAACAAATGATCGTGCTCCCCTTCCCTACCTTTTCAGATTTGCATGAGATGGGAGTACAGATCGAGGACGCTATGAAGTAGGGCCTCATTGACCAGGAGAAAGAGCAGCCTAGGAGGCCGTTTTTCCGCAGTTCAAATGCGACCACCGGTGGTGACGCAGTTGCTAGGACCTCAGACGTGGGCATGGTCGCCACCACCACACCAAGAGCAGCCACCCCCTTTGTTGGTGCATCCACTTCAAACCTCCGAACTTCGGACTATCTACCTCGAGGCAAGAAGGTTTTCACCCCACTCTTTATGCCTTCGTCTAAAGCTCTAGGGGTCCTACTCAGGAAAAGACATCTGAAACTGTTGGAACAACGGCCTCTACCCGATCCTCTCCCTCCAAAGCATGACCCGACCAAGTACTGTGCTTTTCATCAACAAACCAGTCATGACACCGACAGTTGCGTCCGTCTCCGCCACGAGATACAAAATTTGATTGACAACAAGGTCATCCTCGCACCGGGTCCTGCAAAGTCTATCGGCACTTGATCAGTGAACTTGTGGGGGATAATGTGATGTGATCGAGGGATGAACCACCTGCGGGCGGCGTTCAGTTTATTTCAGATATGGTGTATGGCATGCACTGTTTTGAGCATTTGCCAATGCTAGCTTTTGTGCTTTCTGACTTGGGTATTGGGTCAGTCTTGTTGTTTTGTTTTGAGTCTGTCTTTTTGTTTTGAGTCAGTCTCTTTTTGTTTTGGGTCTGTCATTGTTGTATCGAGTCAGTCCTGTTGTATAGGAGTCGGGTGATTCCGGGGGGTGTTATCTCGGACATCACTTGCTTGTTTTGTGTTTGTCTTTTTTGCTTCTTTTGAGTCTGTTTTGCCATGGAGCCAGTTACACCAACAGTTATGAATGAAAACAGCAGTGGTTTTTCATGCTTCTTGTGCTTACTTCTGCTTGTGCCAGTTGTGCCAGAAAGTCGAATGGAACGATA